CCCCCGCCTTCTCTCTCTTTCTTTCTCACTGCCTACAGACAAAATTGCACGCTTTCAACACAAGACAAGAGCACTGGAACATTTGTTTATGGTGAACGCTACACAGGTTGGCCTAGGCTATCACAGTGAACGCACACCGGGTGAGAATAGCCAAAAGGCTCACCTGCATTATCTAGATCTAAATGAAGATTGCGGATGTATTTCGATGAACGCTCATTTTTCGCTCATTTCAAGACAATTGGATAAAAAGAACAATGTCATAATTATTTCAACCCAGCAGTCACCCTCTCTATTTCTCTTCCTCTCCCCCCATACCCTGCTCTCTCTTTCTCTCTCCTCTGTGTGTCGCTCACCTTCTCTTTCTCTTTGTTTCTCTCCCACCTACTTTCCCACTCTATCTTTCTCTCGTTCCCTCCAGTCAACTGGCGTTTGCATGTGATATAAATTGCTAGCACTTCCCCCAGTTCTTTACCCCCTCTCTGACTCTCTCTCTCTCTTTTTATCTCTCTCTCTCTCTCTCACACACACACACACACACAGACTCTACCGGGTCTGGGCGCTGAAACGCTCCGAAATCACAAAAGATGGTAAGATCGAAGAATACCGGACCAGCGGACTGACTTTGCCTATGTCTCAACGTTAGGAATTCAAGATTTTCCCCAATATTAAAGGGAATCTCAGGCGCTTTTTCGGTAGTTACCACTCCGCCATTGTTATTCGCGGGTTTTGGCCCCAAGAGTAGGGGGGTTTCAGGGGGGGGCTTGCCCCCCTGACCTAATAAAAATAAGGTGGGGGGTATCAGGGTGGCATGCCCTCTTGATTTTATCATAATTTGATGTTTTGCAGTTGTTAGGTTTGATATCTTGCCGCGCATCAAACGTATAGACCTAGATGTAGATCTAGGCTCAAATAAGGGGGGTGGGAACACATGTGATTAAACGTAGAAAGACGCAAACTATTTTTAGGTAAGGCGCCCATCTTGTTTGACGTCAGACCAGGATACCTCTCCGATCATGTGACTACATTTAAGTATAATATAGCCAATCACATGGCACCAAAGATGGAAGTGTCTATCATGTATATCATGCTTAATCTACACCTCTCTCTCGGAAGTTCTGATGGCTGAAAGACAGTGCGTCTGCGTTTATAATTGTGCAATGATTTTTGGAGCGGTTCGGTCCCGGACAGGTTTTTTTTCCTCTTCTCCTCCTCACGACTGACCAACAGTCCCATAAATTATAGGCCTAATTTGTAGAGTTGCTTTGAAGTTTTTTGTTTTTTTATAAAGTGATTAAAAATGCAGGAGAGGGGGTAGTGGTAGATCTAGATTTAGATATGACATTTAATAATTTAGATCTAATCCTCCAGCGTCTTTACGGCAATTTATATAGGAAATCCGAAACGTTACCGAAAACACGTTGTTCCATGTGGGTATCCCAGGAAGTGATGACATCACAGTACTAACATTAGCAGCCAATCAGAAAGATGCGTCTTTTCTACGTTTAACGGCATGTGGTGGGAACTACCGAAAAAGCACCGAATCTCGGACCGGTAGATCTACTTGTAGTACTCATTAAAAATTTGTCAGGGGGAGACCCCCCTCCTCCACCTCAATCACCCGCCCCACCCACCCCACATTCTCGTGCAATAATGTATACGAGTGGTCCGGTATTCTTCAATCGATAAGACCAGCGGACTGACTTTGCCTATGTCTCAACCTTAGGAATTCATAATTTTCCCGTTTTTAATATCTCTCAATGGAGAATCTTCATAGCTGCCACTAAGGAATTTCAAAAAAGGAGGAAATTCATGCATGCGAAGGCGGACGCGCGCTCTCTGGAGTATGGAGTAAACCAGTGAGATCCAGAGAGGCAAATACTGGAAAATCTAGCCTATGGTTTTTGGAAGGGAAAACTGTCATATTTGTTAACCATAGGCAACTGAATTAAAATGTATTTGAAAAATAAAAAAAGGCAGTAGTTGACTAACAAGCATTTGAGTCAAGTTGACACAGTTTGGACTTGGTGACTAAAAAATCCAGTGTTTGTTGCCTGCTGGTCTCAGAGATTTCTTTCACTTTAAACTTGTACATCGATGTAGAGCGGGCGCAGTATAGGATCAAGGAGGCAACACCTTTATTGCCGCTGTACTGAGCACTCCTGTACAATTGCGGTCCCGTTTGCACTTAACTTAGTAGTGCCCCTGTAGTGTGTAGATCTAAACTGAATTGAAATTATAGCCTAGAGACTATCTCATCTAGATCTAGAATCTAAATATCTAAATATGTGTAAATCTAGATTATATCTAGAGATAGATTATCTAGATCTAGATTCACTTCAACAGCCACAAAAGCCGTCATGTAAACAAACAGGACCGCTTGTACAGGAGTGCCGCCGGCCGCGATTTCTTTATCGCACCAAACTCAAACTCAAAGTGCAGCAAGCGGCTTGTTCAATTTTTAAATGAACTTTTCAAGTCGCACACCGGCTGCTTCTTTCTCATTACAGCTCCGTTTATTGTTGCATTTTGCATCAATTTCTCTCGAATTTCCGCCGTTTTCAATGATAATTCGGCGCGCCAACGTCCCAATGCCAGATCGACACTTTGTTGCTCCACAATAAATAAACAATGTGAAACTAGCGCTTGGCCTAGAAGAACAGAAGTAGAAAGCTACGGGCGGACATGCGCAAGCTGTGTTTTCGTCTCTCTCCCGGTTTGATGTTTTCCACGTGTAAAAAAAAAAAAGTATCGCAATTTGCGACCGAGTGCGGTCCAGCGGAGGAAGGAGGAAAGTAGTGGGAAAAGCTAGATGAAGCGGAGTTTCCGCTATTTAGCGGGAAAGTGGCAGCTATGAATCTTGGACCGGTAGATCTAGATTAATTCTAGATCTAGATCTAGATCTATTCATTAAAATTTTGTCAGGGGGGAGACCCCCCTGAACCCCCCCTCGGCCCTCCCCCCTCCTCTGCCCCAACCACCCGACCCACCTACCCCACATTCTCGCGCAATAATGTACGACGAGTGGCCCGGTATTCTTCAATCTTCCCCTTCAATCTTCCCCAAAAGGTTTCCCATACTCTGGGTCTGTATATTTCGTGATTTTTTCCCGGTTGGTTACCGGTCTGTACACTTCGATTCTTTGACCTAACTTGAATGAAGTTGAAGTTGAAGTCAAAGTCTTTTGTTTGAGTTCCCCACACAGAAAGAGGACGAGGTCTAGATCTAGTGGAAAGCCTAAACTGACATTACCTGACCAAGCTCTGGGCCCAGTGGTGGTGCTGGTGTTGCTTTTCCAGCTGGGATATTCCGCCGTAAGAATGTCTTTCGTTTGACCTGGTCCGAAACAACCCCAACGGCCCTTCTGGCAGCCATTTTCACACTTATGATTTATTGGAGTACATTCCCTTGGATAAGGGAGTCTACTCTGTTCGAAAATGTAGAACTAGCCTATCGAAAAGTTGTTACTTCCCGTTGCTTAACGTCCCCCTAATACACTTTTGGTTGGGGATCTCTCTCAAATTTTTCTAATCTAATTTAACTAGACTATAAGTTTGATAGGAACTGAAAAGCGAGAACAAGATAAAAGCAGATCTGTGTTTGACGTCATTTCCGAAGGGTCTTGAGGACTGCCCGGCCAAGGTAGGCTAAGTCTGTGTACATTGTGTATTATTGATGATTGATTAATAATTGTATAATAATAATAGCAGTGAAGTCTATCAGAGACGGTGTAGACACAACTAACCTGACTATAGATCTAGTAGCCTACAGTGCTAGTACTGTCATTGCACTCACTACTGACTGTGGGGCAGCCATGTCGCAAGTCTCAAGTGAGTTTTATTGAGTATACTAGATTCTATTCTAGCTGCTAATAATCAAAGGAAGTGATTATTCACACCGGGTGTGCGAAATAAGCAATAATTTTATTCACACCGGATGTGCGCTTAAGAATTAATATTTAAATTCACACCAGTTGTGCGAATAAGAAATAATTCTATTCGCACAGGGTTGAGCCTACGTTGATTTTGGACCTCTATTGTCACACCCTTTAAATGTTAAAACAACTGTGGACACTAGATCTAGATCAGATGGCATATTCACTTGTTACAGTTTTAGGGTTAAAGCATGCCACTCATCTGTCTCTCTCTCTCTCTGTCTCTCTCTCTCTCTCTCTCTCTCTCTCTCTCTCTCTCTCTCTCTCTCTCTCATTTCCATCCTTCTTTTTTGAAATCCCCTGTACCAATAATATTATTTTGTAGAATTCACACACCCTGTTCGAATAAAATTTCACAGTATTCACACAGTATTCACACACCATGTGCGAATAAAATTTCATATTATTCACACAGTATTCACACACTCTGTGCGAATAAAATGTCATAGTATTCTCACAGTATTCACACACCCTGTGCGAATAAAATTTCATAGTATTTGCACACCTACAGACAATATCAAAATCTTCGATGATGTCCTTTAGTATAAGTACTGACAGGGTAAAGACCGACAAGAAACAGCTAACGCAGTGCAACTGGAGCTGGATCGAATTGGGCAATGATGTGTAGACCTCAACGGCACACTCCACCCCGACAAGGCCTGTGTGCTGTGGTGCTCGCTGAATAGTCACACATTGAAAGCAGAGATGCCCACAGTTACCATCAACTAATCAACAACAGGGTCCTGAAGCGTGAGCACTCACTGAGGTATCTCAAGGTATCACCTTTGACAGATCAATCTCAGGTAAAGATATAGCCAGGATCATCACATGTGCCAGAAAAGGTCGGACTGCAATGAAAACCATTGCATATATGTAGCAAAATGCCACAGAGAATTTTAGCCATACTATATTAGACACTTGTGCTGTCTGTGATAGACTATGGGCTCGGTCTCCTCACCTTGTCAATGTCGCAGCTGAAACGCCTTGAAAAAATTCAGAATGAATGTATGCGTATTGTTCTTGGATGCACACGAGACTCATCCTGCAAGGCTATCATGTGTGTTATCTCCTGGACCTCCCAGCCATGGTAAAACGTCTCCAAATTGCTCAGGTGATAGCGTATAATTTGAGAGTCAACGCCAGTGATCAGCACCCACTGCATGACAAAGTGGGAAGAACTATACGCACACGTCTGCTTAGAGGGACTGAATGGGTGACTGAGGCAGTGACAACTTTGGCTACATGCTGTGAAGTGCAAGACATCCGAAAGGGCAGCGCTTGGATCAGTGTCACTGACACTCTTGGGCAATTATACTCGAGTGGTAGCAACCTTAGGCAGAGAATGTTGTGACTGGCCAGAGGGAGCAGCCAATGCCAAGGTAGAGACACTGATAGAGGAGAACAGTGAACAGGGCGACGTAGTCATCTTCACAGATGGATCAGTACTGGAGGGGCTTTCAACGCTTGTGTAAACGGGGTCATACAGAGGGAGCTGTCTGGTGTCACTAGCCACGTCCAGCATGTACATGGAGATGAAAGCCATCACAGAAGCTCTTAACTGGATTAAGACGACAAAGTATCAGTCTGCCATCCTCGTCACAGACTCAATGAGTAGGCTACCCTTGAAAAAATGAAGAAACACATATGATGCAAACTTGCGGGAGGCAATACAAAGCAGCAGATTCCTAAGAACTGTGTGGGTCTTTAACCCTGGTCATGCAGGAGTTCAAGTTCAAGGCAATGAACGTGCTGATAAGCTAGCTGGCCAGGCTGAGATTGGCAGCACCATGCAATTAGCCTTTTGTTGGCCTTAGTCTTTAGGTTCCAGATATATGATATTGCATGAATACTGCCTGTCCAGCTCGATCCCGAGGTAGGTCGGGTTTTTAACTTTTTCTAGTTTGTTTCCTGGCAAGTAAGATGGTGAGATTTTTGCTTTGCGACTTTGTGGCTTTTTTTAAAGGCGGTGTAAATTGTCTTGGTACAATATGCTTTTAGTTTCCACTTACAGCTGTAGTTGTTGAATCTATCTCTAGGTCCTCATGTATTTCCATGCAATGATGCCAGCTTGTTTACTTGAATGCCATGGCTAGGTCGTCAGCATATAGGGCTTTCTCCAATTTCTGTATCTCAGTCAGTATCTCATGCAGGTCGTTGATGAAAACAAGGAAAAGTGTGCAGCTCAGAGAGGAACCCTGGAGTAGGCCCTTCAGTACAGCTTTGGATGACACACTGTTAATTTGTTAATTCTGGTCTAGATTGTCTTGTCTGTTAGGTAGGCCTTCACCCATCTGAAGAGTTTCCCATGGATTCCTGTCTGTGTCATCTTCCACAGGAGGCCTTTTTTCCATACCCTGTCGTAAGCTTGCTGGAGATCAACGCATACTGCTACTGTATTGTTCTTTTCCTGGAAGCCACCAAGGATTTTCTGACTGAGCCTAGAGAGCTAGTCATCTGTTTGCTGGCCTGCACGAAATCCTGCTTGGTTGATGTCTAAGGCACCGATTTTCTTTATTATGCCCATTGACACGTTTGGTTCAATTGGGCTTGCGAGGCGGGACTATCCAGATTGAGAGGGCAAAGCGACCATCGTGGCACAAACCAGTTCTGATTTCTTAACAGGAGCTCTCAAGCAAATAATCAAACTACAGATAACACGGATAGGTTGAACACAGAAGGCTTGAAATAACGCATCTGTCGAACTGTGCTTGCAGTTCCGTTTTGTTTTGTTGTTTTTTTTTGGGGGGGGGGGGTTCGTTATCTTTGTATTGTAAGAAAATTACGGGAAGCTCGAACACAAACACGGAATATTCGAATTAGTTATGTCGGCATGGAGGTCTATTAAAGTCAATGTCCTTTGAGGTGCATTTGAGACTAAATAATAATTTGATAATTATAATTTATAATATTAATAAAAAACGGAAAAGGCAAGGTAGGTAAAATACCGCCTTCCCCCCTTTACAAAAGCAGCCAGCTAGCTGTGCTATTTTTAGCGCGCTGCTCGACACGCTGTCCGACACGTGTGCCTAAGCCCTAGGCCTAGCTAGGCTTGTGTGGAGCGAGCAAGAAGAACGGCCTAAAGTAGGCCTAGCAATCTCTGTCGCTTCCCTTGATTCTCTGACACTGCTCACGTATCCCTGGCCGGTCCAGACAAATTCGAGCTCTCTGTGAATTCCCATCCCAGACTACCGACAGCTTTATAATTATCTTGGCACTAGAGCTAGGCTAGGGCTTGAGGTAATCACTTGGGACTTGGGAATAAAAAAATAGGCTAATTTTCGATCTAAAAAATCATTTTAACTGGTCTGTTGATATACACAGTCTTACGTAAAGACTTGACTCTCAGAGAGAGTAGAGGCCTGTGGCATTCATGGAAAATAATGTTATTATAATGCTAATGTTGGCGAATTCTTCTTCTTCTTTCTCGTTCTCGATGGCAGCTGCTAGACAGTCAGTCCAATGTCACGCACAGTCTGTGCAGTTCGCTTCAGATCTGAGAGACTGCCATAGAGCTTTCTCTCAAGGGGAGCCACATTCTGCCTCGTCTGTGTACGAAGGATGGCATAGCGTAGGCAGTGCTGAAGGATATGGTTGACATCCTCTTGGTCGTGTCCACATTCACAGATCGCTGACTCTCCCACATTTAATTTGGTGTTGGTGTTGGCGAATGTCACATCATGAAAGGAGAGGTAGCGTCATTATGACATGAGTATCGGATGGGATCATTTGTTTTGTTACAGTTGTGTTGTTTTAGAGGTGTCTGTCAATTAGATCTTTGTCACTGACCACAGAGACAAAGTGGAGTCTAGATTTGTTGAATGCTAAGGAACAATGACTGAGCAGCAAAATGTTAGTCAGCAGGAAGAGAATAAGGAAATTATCAAGGGAGAATCCTAAACAGTCGTCCCCATTATAATTGATTTAAAAGCTGCGCATAGGGCCATTCTGTTACATTTTACAGGAGGGTCCATTGTTCAAAGTTGTAGTCACTAATATTATAACTCTCTGTTTGGGACCGCTATGCAATCACTGAGATACCAGAGGCAAGAGATTCATTATTGTGCTTTCACATTATTATGGTTACTGGCTTACTGACATTCATTATGATACTATAGAATGATGGAAGGTGGTTATAAGTATGTAAGGTGAAGAGGTTGATGATCACCTAATCACGGCTTTGAAGACAGTTGCGTATAAATTATAATATTTTCTAAGTAGTCGAAAAGTAATCTCTCAATTCCATTTATTAACAGATCGATACTGGAATTTGCCTCCAATATATAGATCTAGGGTGAATTGTTCTGTATTTCTCCAAAACTCAGTCCGTTTCTATCTTTAAAATTCCTAATCAAGTTTACCCTCAAGGAAAGGTAGCAAACCTTTTCAAAAAGTAGTTGATGTTGGAATATAATGGCATGCTAGAGATGTAGTCTCTGCATTATACACGTGACATAGATTATTGATTTATTTGCCTTTGTATCCTCTGTCCTCTTCCCTTCATTTTTCCAGAGGTTAATAGGTTTTGCTTTTCTACCTTTCTTACTCCTCGTTTGACCTTCAAATTTTTTTTTCATTTTGCTCTTTTCTTTTTCTCCTCCCATCTCTCTCTCTCTCTCTCTTATATTTTCTTTTTAAATCTCTCTCTCTCTCTCTCTCTCTCTCTCTCTCTCTCTCTCTCTCTCTCTCTCACTCTCTCTTGTTAGGCTAGGTAAGATCAAACACTTAGCTTTCTCGGATAAGGGTGAAAAAATCTTGGAGGTCCCATGTGCAAATTGCATGCGTTAAAGATCCCTTGGTGCTCCTAAAATTGATAAGAGTAGGCGGCGGCCACCACCCGGGCTAAATTCAAATTTAATTCCTACCAAACTGAAAATGCTTGCCCGCGCACTATCATATCTTATATGCCGTTACCAACGTCATAAAGCACATACAAAAAAAAAATCTCTCTCCTCTCTCTCTCACTCTCTCCATCTGTTTGGTCGTGTATACTTTTTGCGATGCTCTCTTTTTTCTCTTTTTTTGTGCTTATCCACCTCTATCAGTTCCTTGAACTGCTCTCTCTCCCTGTCTTTCTCTTTCAGTGTATTGTCCACTCTACTTTTCTCTTTACCTCTTACTGACTGTTTGTGCCTCTTACCGTCTTTTCTTCATGTCTCCCATGGCTCTTATTGGTGTGTTATTTTCCTTTATTAATTCTTAGATAGTATGCATCCTTTTTTTATGAATCATTTGAGTAAAACGTCTGTTCGTTTTAAGTTGCATATGTGCTGTATAAGATATAATATAACCTTACTCAAACGACTAAACAAATGAAGTTGTGAATTTTGTTGAAGCGAGAAAGGGAAGGGGGTGGGGGAGCATTTTCAGAGATATTTTGCATCATTACATTATGGTACTGCCGTAAGCCGACAAAACGCCTTTTTTATTTTTGGTATCAAAAATTTTTATTTGCTTAAAAATCAAAAGCCTGATCAGTTACCCAAATTGTGTGAAAAAATCAAAGCGAAACCTTGGTGGTTTCATTACACCAAGGAAAAGGAGAGTGTGGTATTCCAAAAATGAACTCATTTTCTTTTGTCTGTATATATAATAACCCTCAGAGAAAAAGAGAATAAGAGAGCTTTTATGTAAGAAAAATATGTTCTTACTACAAGCTTTTATAAGCCTACTAGAACATTATAAAAGACAAAGAAAAATCAATAACAGTCAGGGAAAGGGAAGTTTAGGTCTCTCAGAGTTTTATGAACTATTGAAAGATCCAGATAATTTGCAAGGGTTTTTTTTGTTGCAAAGTACAATTATCCCCAGCTGGTGTTTTTTCAATTCTGTATTACTTCTTTTCTAACAAAGCCTGTAAAAAACAGTGTGCAAATATTGATATTTTTTTTCTCCATTTTGTTGCAATCAGTAATTAAATCACCCCAAGAGAGCTTTATGCCTATTCTATTCCTTTTCAGATGTCATCTGTGGCATGTAAAGTGATAATGCATAACACCACTGCAAGTGTTTTGATCAATCACATCTTTTGTTTGTTTCTCTGAGCGAGGTGGATGAGTTTCAAACAGGATCCTATCCGGGCTTTTGTGTGTGTGTGTGTGTGGGGGGGGGGGGGGGGGGGGGAGGTGGGTTTATGCTCTATATGCATGTATCTGCTCTGCTGTGTTATCACCAGTACATGTAATTTGTTGATGTTTTCTCTCTGTCTGAAACTGAAATGTTTGTTGGTTATTGATTCTTTCTGTTTCCCTACTATTTTTTCAGATCTCAAAACGAATGCAGTGGTATTCGGCCACCTATAGAAAATAGGTGTTTGCCTGTTGATAAGATCATGTCAGAGAAATCGACAGCTGCTGAATCGAAAGTTGGGGATCAGGGTGACTTTCCTTTTACTGGAGATGAACCGGTGGTCTCGGATGATAGTTCACCTGCAGCAGTCGTAGCAGCCAGCAGCACCAGTGGTGGATCAATAACCCTCAGTGGAGGGAAGCCGGGGAAAGCAGCTTCGGACACAGCTGTGCACTCCCGGCCACCTAGCCATGGCAAGGCCCTGTCCTCTCATAGGTTAGACTGTTTAGGAGCCACACAGAGGGACCATTGCTCTGGAGAACCTGATTTAGGCACATATTCTTCTGAAAATTCAGAGATGGATCCAAAAAAATTGATGAAAACAAAAACGCTTAAGCTGTCAAAAAACAGTCCTGAGAAAGTTTTCAAAGGAACTGCGAAAGAGGACTCGCCCACGAAATTGAGGCGCAGGAAAGGAGATTCTAAAGATGTGAAGGTTGAGAGCGTGAAGGGTTCTCATACAGCTGTAGAGGAGGACAGTGATGTGGAGCTGACAGAAGCGGAACAAAACTGGCGAGAAACGAAGGCCTACTACTTGTCCCTAGCTGTTCTGTCTCTGGTGTCGCTCATTACTCGCATATACAACATCGAGACCCCAGCGCATGTGTGGTGAGTATCGAAGGTCTTTTGAAATATTACTATGTATGTATTAAAATCATTTTAATTAATAATCAATACAATTAATTTTTTGTGTGTGTGCATTCGTTTTTCAGTGTACTTGTGTAAAAGAAAAAGTGTTTATTTTAACCCTATCCATACGTCATGTTTACTATCGTATCCATACGACGTGGGGAACTCTGTGCCACCACTTTCCAAAGAGGAAATTTACTTGTTAACCCGATCCGTACGCTTTGCATAGTAGTCGAAATGATTTTTTGAGAAATACTGAAAGTTTCAAAGAAATCTTCGAACTAGAAGTATTCTAAAATGTGAAGAGTACAACTCGGGGGGTACAAAATGACCCCAGGGTGTATGGATAGGGTTACTTTGTATGATATCATGCAGAGAGTGGAATTTGTGTCTGTTAGTGCATTTGTGAATATTGAAAAATTATTTGTTCATATGTGTGTCTGTACATCTTTAAACATATTTTTATTATGCATGTATTTGCTTGAGGCATTCATTTAGTTCAAATAAATAACCCCTTTTGATCCAGTCTCCTTGGGGGCTGATGTTTGTTAAGAAGACAGATTTTTTAAATTCATGAGTGCTTTATGGCTACAGATGTGTCCAAATTTTGTTACTTTAATTTCAGTTGGGACGAGACACATTTTGGTAAAATGGGAAGCTGGTACATCAACCGCACATTCTTCTTTGATGTCCATCCACCACTGGGCAAGGTTAGTACAATAGTCAGGCAGCGTGTAGTTTGTCCACAATGGTATGCTGCTAATCAGGTGTACGGCGTAAGTTAATCCTTTTATTCCTTTAGGTTCCTTGTGATATTATTGTTATGTTGTTGTTACAACAGGGAAAGGGGGGGGGGGGTGATGAGTTTAGCTTAACACTACTTTTTTGTCCTACTTGTTAACTATTCCTCTTTCATTTCTGTCCACTTGCTTTTGTCCAGCACTATATGACGGTCATTGTGTCTATGAACTTGTTTGCTCAAATAAACAAACATAAGATGTGGTATGTGAGTGGGTGGTTAGCAGGTGCTCTGGTTTGGTTTGCTCCTTCTTTCCTATAAAAAATCTATCTCCTATATCTCCCCTACTTCTGTTTTGTGTTTGTTACTCTCTTGTAACACCTCTAATCTTCGGCACTTACATGACTTTATTGTGTTGCAAGTGCCGTAAAACCCTTACTAAGATGGAAAAAAGATGTGGTATATTACTCTAGATGAATCTTCAAGTTTTATTAGTTTTTTTTCTCTTCTTCAAGGTATTATTATATTTCAAACCTAATGTACTATGTGCTCTTAGTTTAAGTCCTAGTGAGAGATTGAGTCTAATTGCATCTCTGTACTTTCCAGATGTTGATTGGCCTGGCTGGTGTTGTGAGTGGATATGATGGAAGCTTTCCCTTCAGCAAGCCAGGGGATGAGTACGGGGACACCAATTACGTTGGCATGCGTGTGGTAAGGAGAACATTCATTTTGAAAAGCTAGCTCGTGTCGTACATCTTTCTTTGTTTCGAATAGCTTTTTAAAAAAAATATCGTTTGTTTCATGATTTTCTTTGCAGTTGGGTTAGAGATTTTAGAGTTAAGAAAAGAAATAAGTAGACAAAGTACCAGCAGTACTGATGAATATGTAAATTTAGAAGGGATTCCCATTTGCTTTTATTTTATTTTTATGTACTGATGTTTTATCGATATACTAATTATAATGAAACAAGCAAAAGGGTGTGTCTGAATTCTTAGATTTAATAGATTTAGAACAGTTGTACCAGTTGGGGGGGGGGGGGGTTCGTTTTTAGTTTTGATATTTATTGCTTGAGTGTGTAATGGATCTTTCGTTTTATTTTTTCAGTTCTGTGCGTTGCTGGGGACCCTCCTTGTGCCACTGTCCTACCAAGTGGTGTGGCTCCTCACACATTCTATTCTGGCTGGGATTTTTGCAGCAGCTCTAGTCATTTTTGGTGAGATTTGCCTTCTGTTGTACTTGATTTCTGCAATGTCATGGTATGTTTTAGCTGTTTTAGCCAGAAGCAACCACCAACAAAGGGATGTTGGGATTTAAGAGACTTTTGTATGTTAAAAGCTGTATGTCAAGTAAGTGATTAAACTATCCTCCAAAAATGCTCTAATTCACAACAATAATCTTGCATAACTTTTGGACTGTTTATCCAATCTTCATGATGTTTTTAAAAAAACTTTTCTCAACTCTTTTAGCTCTACCTAGTGACATGCATCTTGGTCAAATTAACGGTTTTCAAATTTTTTCCTGAAATCCCCTAGTTGTAGCTAAGATAAGTTTTCTCATATTGCCATATGGGTGGTTGGCTGGTACTAGTGGTAACACCATCTTTTCTTTTCACTATATGGCCTTTATTGTGTCAATCTGTTCTCTCTACTCCAACAAACAAACATACGTCCAGTCTAGGAAAGTATAGCTGAAATCTTGCTATTTTTTTTTTTTTAATGAAGGGAGAATAGAGCTTAAGTCTTAGTGTTGGAGCTGTGGGGGGTGGGGTGGGGTGTGAGAAGAATTAACAACAATACGTATTTTGAAACATGAATGACCCATGTCTGTTTTAGCATGTGTTTGTGGCACAAAAGGATAGCTGTTGTGAGTAGTGTGCATTAGGATCTGAAAGGTTGATTTAATTGATTAACCTAATAAAGTTAGAAGGAAATTGAGTTCATACTGTACCATACATTTAAAAAACATTTTTGCCATCCCTGACTTAGCCAGTTTACTGGCGTCTGTCTGTGGTGTAGCAGTAAGGTGCTTCACCATGCATTGTTCATAGAAGATCCAAGTTTGAATCTTGTGCGGGGAAAATTTTTATTGTCTTAGTCTTTCTGCAGGGACATTGTATCCCTCTTAGCCTGGGTTGGCTCTGACAGGCAGGGTTGCCCGCCTAATAATTGATCTAAATTGTGTGGATGGGACAGGGCAAAAGATCAAGAGGAAGACCACTTGGAACCTGGAGAAGAGTCATGGAAATGGATGTACAGAAAAGTGGAAAGACATGGAGTGACATCAAGGGACTAGCCCAGGATAGGGAAAGGTGGAAAGTGTTTGTTCGTGGCCTATATCCTGATCCAGGGTGAGAAAGGCAATGATGTGTGGATGGGAGCGTAAAGGAACTGCATTTTTTAAAAGATCTGACCAGTTTTCCTTACATACGCACTATCATTCTTATACTTGTTGTGTTAAGAACACTTTTTTTTTTATCTACAGATACCGGTGTCCTGACTTTGTCCAGACACATCCTGCTGGACCCCATCCTCATGTTCTTCATCCTTCTCTCTGTCTTCTCGTGCCTCAAATTTCTCTCATTCAGGTCCAGGTAAGTGTGCCGTTGGAAGGGTGAGGGTGCTAGAAAAACTTTGTAATTATACCCCACGCCTTTTGGTAATCTTTCCATAGTATTGTGTGTGTGTGTGTGTGTGTGTGATGGAATGTGTATTGTTTTTTCAGTGTTAACATTCTTCTCTTTGTCTTGGGTTGTTTTAAACATTTTGTTTGTTTTTTTGTTTGTTTGTTTTTACGTGCGCCTTTTGTGGGAAGTCAATAGGAACTGGTTTTGATATTCTTTTTTATTTGGGGGGGGGGGGGGGTAATTTTTTTCATTTTGTTGAATATCTGGAACAGAATAGAATTTATTTATCCAAGATAGTTTTTACTCTTTCCTTCTGAGGGTTGACAATTAATCAATACTAGTTTGTTTTTACACCTCCTTCTCTTTGATTTTGTTAGTTGTTTTTTTTGTCTTGATCCTGCATATGTGGGAACACAATATATTTATTTGTATGAGTTTTTAACTCTTTACCCTTGAGGGTTGGTATATAATTAATACTATGAGTTAGTCTATCTTTGTTTGGGGTCGTTTTATTTTACTTTGTAGGCCTATTCTTTCTCTTACATGCCTGAAAACAGAATAGGATGTATTTATATGGTTTAGTTTTTTCTAAGGGTGGACAAGTAGGCATTATTAGTTATGCGTTACACTTTCTCTCTCTAAGGGTTGGCAGTATGATAAAAGTTAGTTTTTACACTTTCCCTCTAATGAATGGGGTACTCCTAAAGGTAACGAACTGGCAACGGTGCATCTATCTATCAGCTTGTCTGTATTAGTGCATTATTATGTGTATTATGTGACATTTATTAATTATTGTGTTTGTGTGTGTGTGTGTATGTGTGTGTGTATGTGTATTCATGAGTAGGTATGTGCATGCATGTGTGTTTTATGGTTGCAATTATAAACCTAATTTCCCCAGGTGAATCAGAAGAAGTGTTCATTTTATTTGATTACTGTGTTCTCCTCTACAGACCATTTTCTCCATTGTGGTGGTTTTGGATGGCAGCCACTGGATCATCATTAGCTGGAGCTCTTGGGTAAGAAAAATTCAAAACTGCTAAGAAAAAAATGCATCTCACTATTTTTGTTATATATTTGCCTAATAAAATATGCTCCACATTTCATGGAGATTAAAAAATATAGGAGATAACAGTTTGATGAGAAAAAACAAAACAAAAAAGAGAACAACTGTGACTGAGCAGATAACAAGGCACTGCTTTTTCGATGCCTGATAGGTAAAAAGGGTTCTTTTTTTATCATTCTATTGTCCAGTCTATAGAAAGTACACAGATTTTTTCCGATCAAGTTAATGTTTTCCGGAACTGTATAATATTTTCATTAGCATAAATATTAGTACAAGTACATGTTTCTTTTCATGTAAATATTGAGTCTCTATTAATCCTTACTCTAATCATATTTTTTTTTTTGGAAGAACTTTAATTACCCTATCGTCTGTTTATCGTCTGTTGAATATGTAAATAATCAAGTCTTTTTATGTTGGTATAAATGCTTTATCATTTTGTTGTGTTGACAGGGTGAAGTTTGTCGGCCTCTTCGTTATCCTCTTCATTGGCTACACGACAGCCTCAGATCTGTGGAATCTCCTTTCAGATTTGTCAGTATCATTGGTAGGTGGATGCTCGGTACTTTGGATATTTTCATGAATATAGAGAGAAGGAAAGACTAGTGGGTTTTCCTTTTTTTTCTCCCTGAGAATTCAGTAGGCTATACGTGTAGTTAAGGCCTTTTTACCTGCCTTGTGAGATGTTTTGGTGGTCTGTCCTCAGAGCTGTAGATTTTTATGCCCACATCACCTTAATTTTGGAAGTGGACTGGGTCAAAGCAACCTAGGCTGAGAGGGGAACAACACCCCCCCCCCCCCTCTTCCTTACAGGATAAATGTAGGTGTTTTTTTTGCTTCCATCGACACAATTTTAATGGTTTAGGTGGCAGGCTGCTTTATCCTGCCCATCAAGGACTACCTGGGTTGAAAGGAGTCCATCATACCCCCTAGGGCGGTGCTACTGACTGTGGTGTCTTTAGGCCATTCCCAAAGGGGGGGACATTAACATCTCTAGTTCTTAGGCACCGTAGAATTGTAATTGTAAATTGACTGATTCATCAATGTCATGCTCATAACTGCCTGAACTGCAACAGGGAACTGCTGCTTTTTCTTTCCTAAATCCTTGCTTTCGTCCTTTTTCCTGTACTTCTTTTGTATGTTTGTCACACTCTTGTGACCCGCTATTTCCGGGGTGCCTTGATAGTCGAAGCAGACTTTGTGCTGGTGAAGCAAGAGAGGTGAGCAGAGTAAGTCTGATTCCCTGTAAGTGCCTCTCTGTTGACATCCACCCCTTGGGGCTCATATGACCTTATGCAGTTGCGAGCGCCGTAAAATCTCTACTAAAACAAACAAGGAGTCCAGCATTCTCTCTAAGACGGAGAAACTCAGCTTATGCACTTGACCCCTTAGTGATCGAACTGTCTTTTATGTGAAAAGGCAAAAAGAGTGTAACCATCTCACCATAGAAGCTGATTGTCCATATCAGACCCTGTGTGAGATATTTTGGTTTCTAATATTTTTTTCTTCAATATTTCTTGTTCCCCAGTTTCTCCTTTGCAAACATATCTTTGCCCGCGTGGCCTGCCTCATCGTAGTCCCCTTTCTGGTCTACTGTTTTTTCTTCTGCATACATTTCAAGGTGCTCAATCGCAGGTAAGAATGATGAATGAATGGGAAAAGGGCCAAAATGAGTCTGTTTCTTGTCGTAGCTTGACATGGTCTAGCTGTTACAGTAGTCTCCGCCTAAATGCACACCATACAAAGGTACGCTCCGCTCAAGTGCACGTTTTTGTCATGTGGTGAGTTTTTTGCTTTATAATTGAGACGTACGAACGCACGGTCACTTTTTCTAAACGCACGCTTAAATCCGTGAATCACACCAACAGGCAAAGCTTAACCATGGGAAATGTTCACTACAACCTGCACAGCTTGCATATAAGACAAGCCTAGACAACAGGAATCCTGTATTTGGTGAGACTGACCCTCACGCAGAACAAAGAGAGCGATGCTCAGAGTTTTTACGCTCAACTCACGGACACATAGGTCTAGGACTGGTCAGGTGATATGTTGGGGGGGGGGGTGAGGGAAATGTCTTCTGATTGGTCACTCGAAATGCGTCTTTGAGACTGGTGTTTGAGTGACAGCATACGTAATGTTTACTTAGACCTATGATGTGCAACACTCGTGAGTTTTGTGCAACACTCGTGAGTTTTGTAAAACACTAGATATGCCCCTTGTTAAAGATTAGTAAAGTAATCAACTGCGCTCGAAGAACTTATAACTTATAATGTTCAACTAATCATAAGAGAAAAGTCTGATGCCATCCATGCATTTACTGAGTTGCAATAAATGACAGGCAGTCGGGATTGGTCACTTGGAATTGGAAAGCTGCGTGGCTGAGAGCTTTTCCATATGACTAGATCTATCGCAAACAGTTTCCTCTTATCTGTTCCGGACATTTTATAGTATGATAGTGTATACATTATCAAAACAATGAGTCCGTTTTTCTGCCCCCCCCAACCCATTTGACACCTTTGTATTCATAATTCATAACCGCAGTCAGGGAATCCTTCACAAAACAGTCAAGTGTCATCACATAATCAGCCAAAATGACCCATCACCTCAAAGGGAGGTCACTAAGATATCAAGGATATAAGATGATTGCGTCTCTTCTTCCCTTTGCACTGGTTCATGTAAACGCTCGCTCCATGTAAACACATGCTTAGGGGCACTCCCGAGCTCTGTGCATTTAGGTGGAAACTACTGTAGTGAATATGTGACATTTTCCATGCCTCGTCTCCCTTCCTCCCTCCCTTTCTCCTTCCCTCCCTCCACCCTCCATGTCTGTCATACCCTTGGCATTGTAAATTTATAGACTTAAGCTTTTATGCTCATTTTTAGTCATGAAATATGATGGTGATCAGAATATTTTTATAAGGACTTTAGAACAGAGGCAGCAGAGGCTGGTTTCCTCTACCATCTTTGAAAGGGCACCATTGTAGGCTGATCTACCTTCTGCACTCACTTACCTGATGGAGTACTTTGTGCTTAATTTCTGTCTTTGAGCTAGGGTTATCAACTCTTTCTTAACACTTTTCCATCATATTTTGGGGAAAATCCAAAGAAATTGAGTGGTAAGCATCGCCAATCAGCGAGATGAGGTGGCAAAGTGTTAAAGGCTCACCCAATGACCTCTCATCTGAAAGATGCAAAGCAGGTAATGCTTGACATGGTTTGTGAGCTGGAGTTCAGTATTAACTCGGCCACAAACAAGTGCATTTAGCTCTTGACGCTTTTTTTAAAGAACATTATGAGCATTGCTCTATATATTGACTCGTGAACGATTTCTTGTGGGTGTGTTTACTCACCTGCTTTGTGAAATAAGCAGCTGATATATTCTGGTCATGTCGCATTAACATTGCAATGCGCTAGGATGTTTTAACTCTTTATCTCCGTGGGGGGTAAACCCACTATGCTGAGGCCCCTTTTTGGTACTAAATCTAAAAATGATGAAAAAGTTACAAATTGGTCATTGATCCATAACAAGTGAACCTATTCCGATAGATCTTCATCTAATGAATGAAATCCCGGTAAAAGAGACATGTTTTCAGCAATTGCAGAAAAGTAACTTGACGTCGAAGTTGTCGTAAAGGAATGTTCCCGAGCCGCTGTTAGCGGCTCTCCGGCACAGCGGTGCTGGGAGCGGCTTGCCAGAGATAAAGAGTTAAACAAGTTGACTGTATGACTTTTATAGTCTCAATGCATTGTGTTAGGAAAAAAAAAGGTTGCTAGTTTCAGCAGTCTGCCCTAATTTTGGTTCTGCTTTCTATTTTTAACAGTGGAAACGGTGATGGCTTCTTTAGTTCTGGGTTCCAGTCTCAGCTACAGGGCAACAGACTTTACAACATCAGCATGCCTCAGTGTAAGCCCCTGAGTCATCATTGTTATCTTTGTTATTATCATCATCATCATCATCATCGTCATCGTCATCATCATCATCATCACTAACACCATCATCATTGATATCATCGTCATTGCCCCCAACATCATTATCATCATTACTTCATCATCATGACCAATGTTTGTAGTGGAATGATTAGGCCCTTTGCCTTGTAGGCAAAAGACATAGATTCCAATTTCCTTGTGAGAAAAATATTTTGACCAGTCTCTGTCTGTTTTCTGGGATTGGTGGGTTTACTACCTGGTTAAAAACAGCCCACCTTCTAAATTATGTTATTTGCATCTAGTATGTTTATAATATGTCATCACCCTCATCTCTATTTGTTGCAGTTGCAGTTATCATAGTTTTCATCCTCACGTTCATAGTCATCACCACCTTGAAATCATTATCATCATCTTCAAAATCATTTTACTTAAAATCTTCATTTGTTGCAAATTTAGATAGCAGAAAGTTGTAACCATAGACACTCTGTATCAAGAAATGACCAAAATGGTTATTATTATTCAGTTATAGCTGTCAAATCATTGTTGTGATTAACATACTAGTATGCTTAGAATTATTTGTTGAACTGTCTCAGCCTTGTGACTGAGGGAGCTGTTGTTGCTTTCTCCTCGAACACCCGGGGCGGTGCCACTGACTGAAGTGTCTTTAGGCCATTCCCAAAGGGGGAACATTTCTCGTTTTAGTGCACAATAGAATTGTAAATGGGCTTATCTAACAATGTCATGCTCATTACTGTGCCTGAACTACAACAGGGAACTGCTGCTTTTTCTTTCCTAATCCTTACTATCGTCATTTCCTCTACTTCTTTTGTATGTTTGTCACACTCTTGTGAACCACTATTTCCGGGGGGCCTTGATAGTCGAAGCAGACTATGTGCTGCTGAAGCTAGAGAGGTGAGCAGAGTAAGTCTGATTCCCTGCAAGGAATTCTCTGTTGACATCCCCCACTTGGTGCTCATATGACCTTATGCAGTTGCGAGCGCTGTAAAACTTCTACTTTAAAAAAAAAAATGTATCTCTCCTATTCAGACATTGCATTCGGCAGCATCCTGACCCTGAAGCAGCGTCGCACGGGTGGGGCTTACTTGCACTCTCACGTCCATCTGTACCCGGAGGAGCATCCACCGAAACAGCAACAGGTACTGCTGAGGGCATTTCTCTTATTACTTACATGGGAGGCATCCTGGTGAAATCAGGTGCTCCTCAGAATAATGATAAAGAAGAAAACAGCATTTTCCCGCCGGATTGGCAATTTTTTCCAAATTTTCGTTTTTTTGGCTCAACATCTTTTTTTTTGTCCATTTAAAAGCACATTTCTATGTGGATTTTACTGACAAATATTAATTAAAGGCACAGAAAATGTGAATTTTCAGTTTCGATGGACTCTCAAGCTATGCAAATCACCAAACTTTGGCGGACATTTTCTCGCTAATTTTAGCTCTGAAACCAGGCCACCTCCGCTTTTCCAATTGCAAATATCTTGACTTTATATTCAAGAAAGATGGGTATGTTTTTCATCTAAAGCAAGACAAAGGAACAAGCTTTAAGATGATTCTAAAAACTCCACTTGCCCAAAAATTGACGAGCACCTGATTCCACCGCATCCTGACACATGTTTGGAGTTCAATTTCTGCTTTAAAGAAAATTTGTTTGCAGGTGTCCCCCCAATTTGTGATAAGATGTGATATTCTTTATTGATCCTTCTTTGAAAAAAATTTCAGTTATCATGCTCTTCGTTTGTTTTTTGTTGTTTTTCTTTTTTTTTGGGGGGGGGGTGTTTACATAGTCGTCCAGATATCTTGTGTCCCGCTTGATTTGAGTGACACATTTTTGGGGGGTCAAATGGTGATAATTGAATTATGTAACTGATTGCTTTATATGTTACTGATTGTAATGCCACAGTAGTCTGCACTTAAACAGTATGTGAGATAGCTCAAAAGCATGCTTTTTGTATGAGCGTGCATCTGTGGATTTGTTGGAAACCCAAGTGATGTAAAATATGTTTTGGAGATTATGATAATGGAGGTTGAGAGGCATCTTTTGTCACAGAAGATGCTTTGGTGTTTTAAGGATCATCCCAAGAAGAAACAGATTGCAATTTGATTTATACATACTTTTTCCATTATCTTTTCTTCACATTTTCGTTCTCTATCCTCATGCCTGAGCTTAGTGTTTAACAAAATTCAAGTCTCTTGTTTTTTCTTATCCATGTAAATGTTTCATGAATGTTATGTGGCATATTTCAGGTTACATCCTATAGCCACAAAGATGAGAATAATAAGTGGCTGATCAAGTCAGCCAACCAGGAGACGAATAATCCTGATGAAGTCACTTACGTCAAGTCTGGGGACATCATTAGGCTTGAGCATGTCATGTAAGTAACAGTTTCGCAGGCTTAGGCTCTAAAGTCACTTGTTTCTTTACTTGCTAAAAACTTAAGGGGTTTATTTGCATGCCAAACTCAGCGCTGAAAGCTTTTATCATTGCTGCCATTTGTTTTAATAGAGGTTTTACAGCGCTCGCAACTATCATTGCTGTCAGTCATCTCTGTTTGGTAAGTTTGGTAAGAGTGCAACTGCGCTAGCAACTGGGAATGGTAATAATGTGCTCTGTAAGTTGTCAATTATTTCACTTTTCCAATCTTAATTCTGTCTAAAGCGTTTTTGTGTTTGATTCAGCGCTTTTTTTGTTAACCTTCTAGCTGGCAAACTTAGCAGGTGGTTTTCTTTAACATTCAACCCTCATGATATAGCAGGAACTTTTCTTTGCTCTGTGATAAACATGGTTAATGTTGAAAATTGGAACTTATAATAGCAGTTTGAATAGTCATGACCTCTCCATCGTAAGTAGCAGATGATTGGAGGGCACCCATGGTTTGTCCCAATTTTATACTCCTCTTATAGTGTTGGTGCTTTTTTTTCCTTTTTTCCCCAGCACAAAAAGGCCATTATTGTATCAGTGAGCTCCTCTTTTATTCAAACAAAACTACAGCGCCTGTTGTTTCACTAAAGAAGATATATTTTATTTTCCAGCACAAAGAGAAATCTGCACAGCCACAAAGAGCCAGCGCCAATGAGTAAACATCAGTACCAGGTCTCGGGATACGGGATGGTGAGACTGTGTAGAAACAGAAAAAACTTTTATTACCTTTTTAGTGCAAGGGGTAAGAGTTCTTGTCAGGATTTTTTTCTAGTTTTAGTGAACCGATCTGAAAAAGAAAGAGTTTTGTTTTTGTTGCTCAAAAAACTGAGTAGCTCCAATGTCTTTTTACTTACCTTGTAAAGTAAGGGAACAAAGAATTATGACAATGGCAATCTCTATTCATCTCTCATGGAGAAATTTGTCTCGGTCGTTAATAATGGCAGTAGACGTTACAAAGGTTTGGTGCACTCACGCATACCCACAACAAGACAGGACATAAGTAAATACATGTGTGTAAGTACATAACTCAATTCTCTTGTGACAGGGATGATATTTATACTGTAGAAGTTGGTCAGCATAGCCTCTTATTGTCGAAGGGAAAAGTGGTTTCTTTGGTGGATGTTTTGGACAGTGACATTGTAGTATAAAAAACGCAGGGAAAGGGGGGGGGATGGAAAGTGGTACCGGTGATCGTGTTAGACAGGTGCCATTAGAGCAGGTTTTATCGTACAGTTTTTACTCCTTACTACATGCCATGCTCTCTATGTTCCTTGTAATCTGTACCCAGACTGATATCAGTGGCTGACGGGGAGCAAAGTGTTAACGAGACAGAGTTTAGACACCTTTAATGTGGTGAGAACTTACAGTGAAGTCAAGATGGGAGGAATATTTTATCCCTTGTTCTTGTTGTCGTGCTTGACCAAGAGGTTGATGGACTTACAGTCTCTTTACCACGCAGCACGTTGTTGTTGCTAAAAAAATGACTTTGCAAAAAATGAGTTTCTTTGTCAAACGAAGTTACTTATTTTTCTTGCTGCAGTGACAATGGGCTCTTGAGTTGGAAAGAGTGTAAATTACTTGCCGTCATGAGTCGTACACCACTGTGAAAAGTTGTGCACTTTAGCTCCTATTCTAATCGAATGAATATAAATGTGCCAAAGAGGTGAAAATCTAAGTTTCATTTTCATTAGCTCCCAGTTCTAAAGAACAAATCGACCCCTTGTTTTGACTGTATTTTTCATGTCTGTATTTGTGATGACTGTTTTTATTGACTTTATTTTTCATGTGTATCTTTTTTTTTCCCAGAATGGCACTGGAGATATGAATGATTATTGGCTGATTGAAATAGATGGTCATGATACTGGAGAGCGGGTACAGACGGTACGGTCAAAGCTGAGGCTTATTCACTACCATGTGCGGTGTGCTCTACACTCACATGATAAAAAACTTCCGAAATGGTGAGTGTGTCATCCTTTATCCTCTCCGCACAAATGTTCAGTAGAACCTCTTTTACATCCCTGTGTGAAATATTGTAAGGACATGTCAGCAACAGAATGTTTTTGAAATGGAAATCAATTATCATGAGATTTTTAAAGTCTTTTGGCATTGTTTATGATCCAACACTTCATCAAACTAAGCACTCGAATGAAGGAGCGGAAATAATCACATTTTCTCCATTCTGAGAAAAACTGTAAGAGTAAGAGCTCAATGTGTTCCAATAAAAAACTCGGTCTCTAAAAGAATGCCTGATATTCCTTTTCTGTCTACTCAGGACTGTATCATTGTTATAACTTGGGGTTAGGTGAGGGGAAAGATGAAGAAGTGAAGTAAAATATTGCAAACTGTGACTATGCCTGTTCTTTCATTGGAGTCTTTTGTTATTTTTGGGAGCTAAGCTGTTGTTCCGATTTTGTAATGGCTTAAGTCTGGTGTTACCTGCTAGCTCAAAGTGCTGCTTGTTCATGGATATAACTGTCCTGTCATCATCTTCCTCTGCTTCACTTAACACGTTGTGGGAGGACAAGCTTTTCATGTTCTTATGTCATTTTTTTTTCACTATTGAGGTGTTATTGTGCAATTTCTGCTCTTGAAATGTCTTGTTACTGTATCATATTTGAAATATGTAAGCATTATTTGTTTTTGAAGAGCGATCTGTTTGCTTTTGCATGTGCGATGTTTCAGATAAGAATTGTAAATATTTCATTCTTACTCTGAAAATGTTTGTTATACTTAACTGACTTGAAATATTATGATGTATAGATTAAAGATCTTGAAATATCTAAACAAAATGAATGCACTTGAGTACTATTTTGGATGATGACACCTGAGTACTCTTCAGGCATGTCAGTCACTTTTCTTCAGCTTTTGCAAAAAAAAAAACCCCAAAAAAAACCCAAAAAACCTGGAACAAATGGATGGCTGGATGCAAGACTGACAAGTGCCAGATCCTTGTATCCAACTGTCGAAATGAAAGTGGGTAAAGAAAATATGGGCTGGAAAACATTATTTTTCTCTTCCTCCTCAGGGGCTGGGAGCAGCTGGAGGTGTCGTGCCACCCAAACATCCGAGAACCCAGCGCAGTGTGGAGTGTGGAGGAAGTGATAGACCCTAGATGTGAGTGTCCTAGTTATGGTGTTTAGTTTAGTTTTAGTAAGAGTTTTACAGCACCTGCAACACAATAAGGTCATATAAGTGCGGAAGATTAGAGGTGTTACAAGGGAGTAACTAACATAAAAAAGGAGGAGAGATAAGGATGATAGATGTTTGAAAGGAAAGAAGGGGCAAACCACACCAGAGCACCCGCCAACCACCCACGGTGATGGTGTGGTGTATAAAATGTAGTTCAATTTGCCATAAATAATAATCTCTCCCATTAGAAAAGAAAAGGAAAATGTTTCTTTTTTCCCTATGGGGAAGCTTGCGGCATGTTTAAAAGTATGGACAAGTTATGAATAATTTGTGTTAGAGGTTGCTTCAATGCCGATAGACATTTTATCATCGATACTGACAATATTTTACTAAATGTTCTGTTGCTGGTTGACACAATGCATCGTCCTTTACTCCATTGCAGCAGGGTGTATTGCTGAAAATATGGTAAAGTGTAAATGTCATAGAGTAGTATGTCCTACCTCGTGGATTTTGGAGTTAAAATTCCGATTTTTTAAGATCATGAATGCCTACCACAGGATGGGGTGATGAATGAAGTAAATGTGTCGAGACCTAAAAATGGGAACACTGTCATGTAAATTAATTTAGACCCATATCTTCTTGCTATTGTAACCTAAATTTCACCATGGGTGTCAGTAAAAGTGATATTTTATTCATTTTATTTATCTTCTGTGTTATTCATAACTCCATCTTTCCAGTGACATATAGATGTTATCTTACTTAATTATTTTATTATTTTTTTTTACTGTTCCATCTCTCCAGTGCGAAATTTATTTGTTGTTCACCATTCCGTCTCTCCAGTGAAACGTAAGGCGTTGTTTTATTATTTATTTTCTTGGTATTTCATCTGTCTGTCATCTGGCGCTCGTATGACCTTATGCAGTTGCGAGCGCCGTAAAGCATCTACTAAAACTAAAACTAAACTTTCTGTCATCTCTTCAGTGCCCAATGTGAGCTTCGAGGTGTACTCACCTTCTTTTGTGGAGATGTTCATGGAGAGCCACGCGGTCATGACTCAGGGCAACAGTGGGCTCAAGCCCAAGGAGGGAGAGATCACGTCCAGGCCCTGGCAGTGGCCCATTGACTTTAGGGTGAGTCATCATAGTAATTAATCTGTCCCTGCGGTTTTATGGGGGGAAAAATTCTGAAATTATGCAAACTGAGCCCAAAAATGTGAAATTATTATGCGATTCTGTTAATTTTAACAAAGAATGATGAAGGAAAATAATTAGAAATTATGCCCCCCAAAAAATGATCAAATTTTGCTAAATTACGCGGAGTGCATAAAGTCCCGGGGACAGCAGTAATACTGATTTAATACACTTGTATGTTCACTTTTTCATTTTGTTTTTATTGTTTGGATTTTTGTTGGTTTGTTTGTTGGGTTTTCTATTTGTTTGTTTTCTGAGGGGATGGGGGAGATTTGCAAGGGTTTTTCTTCTTGTTTTATTTTTGGCTTATGGGGGGAGGGGGGGGGATGTGTGGATAGTACATTAATGATCCCTCTGGTAAAGCAATGTACGTGTCACAGCTTGGTGAAATCAGGCGCTTGTCAAAATATTGAAGTTGAAGTAATTGGCATAATGCCGCTCATTGGGTAATTCTTATCTCAAAAATTTTTTTTTCCTTCTCTGAACACCTATTATCCATTTTCATTCACTCTTCTGTGTGAATTTTTCTGAAAAACATTGATCAAAGGCACAAACAGGTAAATGTGGGTGGTCGGCGGATGCTCTGGGGTTGTTTGCTCCTTTTTTCCTATCAAACATCTATCATCCTTATCTCCCCTTCTTCTTGTAACACCTCTAATCTTCTGGCGCTCATATGACCTTATGCCGTTGCGAGTGCCGTAAAACCTCCACTGAAACTAAAACATGTAAATTTGCAGTTTCCAAGGACACTCGAGCTTTGGGAGTTACCAAAATTTGACGACCATTTCCTCACTAATTATACCTCTGCTGCCAGGCCACTCCCACCTTCAATTGCAAATATCCCGACTTCTATTAAAGACAGATGGGTATTTTTTTCACCGAAAGCAAGTCACATGAAGAAGCGCTAAGATTATATCAATAACTATATATGCCCAAAAATTGACAAGTGCCACCGTTTCATGACACATTTAACTTTTTTTTTTCTGATCCAGAATTATGTTCGTTAATTTTTGCTCTAGGAATAATGAATCTTGCCTTCAATACAGATTCTAGGCTTCAACCTTTTGTGCTGTGCGGATATGTAAAATGGATAATGTTTCTGTATTTCTCTTCAGGGTCAGGTGTTCTCCGGTCAAAACCATAGAATCTACATGCTGGGCAACCCTGTTATTTTCTGGCTCCTTCTGGGTCTGAAAGCTGTCTTTTTACTGATCTGGGCTGCTTTCAACGTTGGCTGTAAGAGGAAAATTCCCATGCAGAAGGATTTAAAAAGTAAGAAAATGATTTCCAGTCCAACCAGTTCTTTTGCTCGGATATTGTGAATAATGTCGTCTTTCTCGTATATATGGATAGGCATCTGTGGTGTAACGGATAGTGGCTTCTCCATTGCATGCATGCAATGTTTTTAAAAAATATAATTTGAGTATCGTTGTCTTTTTGCTTGGACCGTGTAGCCTTTTCAGTCGGGTTTGGCCCTGACAGGAAGGGTCGACACAGCAAGCCTCTTAATGAATATTCTAAGTAGTCTCGACAGGGTGTGAAACTTCCACAGTTATATTTCAAAAATGTTATTCCCCATTTTTGATAGCATGTTTGTATGAACGACCTCAGTTTGGTTTATTGGGGGTGTATCACCCTTCAAGATTATTTAAAAGGAATCCGCTCAGGTATTTTTCTCTGCTCTTAGGTGCTATCTACTCCATATATACTTTTTCTTCCCAGTGTTACGAATATCTGAACATTTTCTTTGCAAGATGTGGCCTGTACCATGCTGACGTGCCTAAAGCCTACACTCATGTAAAAAAAAACCAATGCCTTTGCTTCTTTCTTCTCTATGCTCACCACATGGTCAACTGTGTTTTTATCTTTAAATGCAGGTGGTTAGATAGTGCCTCTGCATACTTCTTTTCTTTTCCTCTTTTGTTTCTGTCTGTCTGACTGTTTCCCCACTCTCAATGACTGTCAATGTGCCTATGTGATTGTCTTTACTCCAGCAAACAAACGTACCGTTTTAGTGACTCTAGTTTATAGCAGGATGTCCATTGTAGGAGGTTGGAGGGTAACTCTGGTAGGTCTTGCGTCTTTTATATCCTGTCATGCTGTTTTCCTGATCTGAATGACTTACTCCGTCTGTCATATATGTGTACTTCTTTTTACTAAAATTAATGTCTCATCCGTCAACCGACTGTTGCCAGCATCTGTGGTATTATGGTTAGGATCTTTGCTACTGCATACAATACATACCAAAGACATGACTTTTGATTCCCTAGTGGGAAACCTTTTGAATCAAGTATCTCCATATGTCTGCTGGGATGCTGTACACCACACAGCATTCTTTGAACTGACAGGCAGGTTGGGGTAGCTTTCCCACTAAGGAATCTAAATTTTCTGTGTCGATGGGCATATAAAACACTTATAATCATAATTTCAATTACAGTTGAACCTGTTCTAAAGATCACTTGTCCAAGTCAATCAACTGTACTGTATAAACGACTATTTCCTTTTTCCCCTTTGCATTCTTTCTATATATTGTAATGACACTGTTTGCAAGGACTACCTGTCTTAGATGATCGCTTTCTCCTCAACACTGGGTGGTTTTCTTAGACAGGTTGGACTGTTGTTAGTTTTAGTAGAGGTTATACGGCGCTGGCAACTGCATAAGGTCATATGAGCGCCAGGTTGGACTGTACCATAAACTGTTGTCCCCAGCTTACTGCGAGCGCACGTTCAAGGTATGCTGGTGGCTGCTCCTGGCCTGGTTCCTCCACTACGCCCCGTTCTGGGGCATGGCCCGAGTCCTGTACTTTCACCACTACTTCCCCGCCTTCCTGTTTAGTGCCATGTTTGGAGGTAAGAGAGTGTGTCAAGAGTTTTAGTGGATGCATAACTAATGCATAGTCTGAGGTTTCCAAAATATATTTCAAATTCATTTATTCATGTGAAAGGTTCAATAGATGAATTCTTGATGTCCGTTTCAGACTTATGATTGTCCCAATGATGTAATCTCTGAAAGTATTTGAAGTAAATTGGAGCTACTGTGGCTGAACACATTTCAGCAAAAAGACTAATAACGACTTTGCTTCATTCTTCTCTATGCTCACCACATGGTCAACTGTGTTTTTATCAGGTGGATAGTGCCACTGCATACTTCTTTTCTTTTCCTATTTTGTTTCAGTCTGTCTGACTGTTTCCCCACTCTCAATGACTGTCAATGTGCCTATGTGATTGTCTTTACTCTAGCAAACAAACGTACCGTTTTAGTGACTCTAGTTTATAGCAGGATGTCTTGCTCATCCTTTGTAGAAGGTTGGAGGATAACTCGGGTAGATCTTACGTCTTTTATATCCTGTCTAGCTGTTTCCCTGATTTGAAGGACTTAGTTCGTCTATCGTTATGGTTTTACAGAGATATAAGTCACAGAAGTGTTAGTCTGCAAAGTTTGAAGGTACAATTTCGCAAAACGTAAAAAATGTGACTTCATGGTTTTTGCAGTGGGCCCTTTATGTGCAATACATTGCTCATTTTGTAGGTCGTTGATGAGCTTTTTGATGTTTTGTTCCTTCTTGGTTTTTATTTTGGTTTTGTTTTTGTTTTTTGGGGGCGTGGTTCAATGTTGCTTTTGTTCTGTTTTCTGCAGAGAAAGGCTATGTTGTTTTAATGTATTATTTTAGGCTTCCAATTAACTTAATAATTACTTTGAATACTGATATTATGAATGAACATTAAAACACAGATCTTTGAAAGATGTCACTTACAATTCCTCTGTTTCTTGTCAATTTGTCCATTTTGCTATTTTTTCCCAAGTGCAAAATTATAGTAATTGTCTCAATGTGCTTCTCTTTCCTCAAGCTAGACAAAAATTCTAACTATGTCGCATGTGAAAAGGCTGTCAAGCACAACTCGGCTCATTTTGCCATTTCAGGTGTGATGCTTGATTTCATCATCACCCTCCTCTGTGTCTGTGTGCCAGAGGGAATCGCCATGAAGGTTTTCCACTGGTGCATACTCTTTGTCATAAGTGCAATAATATTCAGGTGAGTCCTGTGCCTGTTACAATATACTAGAAAGTGTTTCTTGTGCAATCTAATTTTGAATTGGAGAAACAAGTTAGTCCCATTTGCACAGTAGGCTCAGGGTTGGGCTATTAGAGCCATGGTACACAAGCAAGAGGTGAAACCCATGTCATGATAGATAGTGCCTGTAATTGTTTTGTTGGAGATGATTAGTGAACGTTTTCAGTTGCACATATAAAGATATTTAAATATGCTTTGCTAGCAGATAAAGTTCATGCCATTTACTAATGTATTGTGTTTGACATCCCATGATTAACTCACGACGCTACTTACATCCTATGTTGGATTTGTGTGAAATATAAGGTTTCATAAAATAGAATAAAATGGAAGCAACAGAAATGTGGTTTCCTAGAAGACTGCTAAGAGTAACATGGAAGGAAAAGAAATCGAATGAAGTAGTGCTTGATGAAGCCCACGTGAGGCGCTCAATGTTTAAAACAATCAGGAAACGACAAATGCAGTTTTTGGGACACCTGAATAGACATAAGGTTCTTGAACATCTAGCTCTCACTGGCAAAATTGAAGGCAAACGTGGCAGGGGTAGGCCCGGAACAATCTACTTGGGGAACCTAAGCAAATGGGTACCAGGGAAAGATCAGGGAAACGTAGCTTTTTTGAGAGCATCCGAGCAAAGGAATGAATGGAGAACCATGGTCACCGATGTCTGTCGTAGATCTGGCATTGAATAACGATGATAAGGTTTCAAGTGTGCTTTGGGCCCACATGTTTCTGTAGGGATCATAGTAGTAAAATGTTGTACTGCGTAATATTCTGTGGAATCTGCCATAGTGGCCACCTTTCCACCGGGCACCTGTACAAACGACCACTTTCCTGTTTGCGTTTTGTCTATTTTATGAACTGTCCAAGACGTTCGCCTGTCTACTAGGACAACCGCTTTACTCCTTGACAGTGAGTGGCCACTTTGGACAATTTCAACTGTATGTCCATTGGCTATTGTATCAATCTTTCAGCTTCTACCTGTTGCACCCCTTGACTTACCCCAATGCCCGGATCCTATTTATATGTTCAAGGCAGTAGCTACTTCTCTCGTTGGGTTTCTGTAAGGATTTTTAAGCATGTTTTTAGCCCTTGTAAGTAATGTTTAGTAAAATGTGTAGAAAGCTATTATGTACATCAGCTGTTCTTTCGACGTTTCAGCTTCTACCTGTTCTACCCCCTGGCTTACGGCATGTCCGGCCCCATGGCAGCAGACGAGGCAGCAATGATGCACAGGGTCAAGTGGCTGGAGAGCTGGGATATTTAGCAGCGTCAGCAGTTTATAGTCGTATGATGGGGACGGGTGCCACTTTTCTGGAACATTCTGTAGTTCAGGAATCTCCAATGTATCTTTTTTTTTTTTTTTTTTTTTGTGATAAATGATGTTGTGCTGTACAAATGTAATTTAAAGAATTTGTTTTGAGTACAGGCTGGGAATTTCAGGAAGTATTGCTTGATCTGGATTAAAAGTCTTAACTCACTTGAGGCTGGGGTATTTTTAAGAAACACATGCACTGGAGTCTGGGCATTTTATAAAGGTGTTTTTTGGTGGGGGGGGGCTTTTAAGTCTGCAAGAATCTAACCAAGAACACTTTATACACCGTACAGTAGAACATGACTATAGTGGCACCCGCTGCAGCAGGACCATCCCAACAGCGGATCTTTACCAGAATCCCCTTTTTCTATGTAAACTCAATTAACTGTACTCGGATTTAACGGGACAAGGGAAGGCCCGAACTTGGAAACAGCGGGAGAGATCGAGCGAACTCTAGCTGATGGAAGGGGGTTGGGGGCGGGGGGCTGTAGGTGGGCTCCAAATAGGCAGTCAGCGGTGCGGCATTGTGATTGGCCTGTCCAGTGATGAGTGAGGTGGGGCAGGCGGCAGAGAGAGATGGTGCGGAGAGACACGTTACATGATCCTCTCCAAAGATGTGTGCCATAGCCTTAGGCCAAAAAGAAGAGGAGAGCGTGGAGTGTGTGATTTTTCAATAATTCCCCTTTTAATTCCTATAGCGGGAACTTGCCAACAGCGGGATCTTTCTTCTGGAACTAAAAGTCCCACTAGAGCCATGTTCTACCGTATTTACACCACAGAACCACCAGAAATACTACATTTCAAAGCAACAAAAATGACCAAGAAACCTGAAACTATTTTTGTTTTGGTGACCTTTCAAAAATGGAGAAAATTTTAACACATATAGAAACTTTTTAGGAGTACTGACAGAGTTGTAATAAATACAGGAAAAAAAAACTTTATTTATTATGTTGCAATTGGAAACAAAACCAAGTCTAGTAAGCTGACAAACGTTTTTTTTCGTTTTGGCGCCGACATGTTTTATTTGCTAAATCGAAAGTCTGAACAGTTGCCCTACTTGTGTGAAAAAAATTAGAGTGAAACTGTGACTAGTTTTTTAATAAATTAAAATTCAAATTTCAGAATGACTATTTTTTAATGGTTATGCTGACATAAAATAACTCTTTTTCTCAAAACTGCTGTTAGAAGAAAAAAAAGATGTTTTGTGAGCTTACAACAGTATATCCTACAAGTTTTCTCTTATCATTTTTTAACCAGATAACTTTAGGCATCTGTCCTTCCTGTGGCACTGAGCTGTGTTGTGGCAGATTGTGATCCAAATGAGATGTTCTGAGTTGCAGTAAATGGATAATGATATGAGGATGAAGTTATTGTCGGAGACCCTGCCGCAGCCTTGTGATATGTGCTGCTAGCGTCAGGCTTGTGTTTCTTTCTGCCAGGTTAGGCTACCACTTACTGCTGAAATGTCTTCATAATCTAGACTGTGTGAGTGAAAGAAAAATGCTTTATTTAAAAAATGAATTTCTTGGCTGTTTTATGAGGTCACATGTTCTTGTATGATTGTGTGGGTGCTTTGGTGTTGTAAACTTTTAACTTTTTAGAGGTGCTATTTTCGTAATCTTTTCCTTGCAATTGCAATATCTCGCTGGTGTCTGTGGGTTCCAAAACCAGCATGCCGTGTTCATAGCAACTGAAGATTTCAAATCAGGCTTCTGAACTTCGCAAGTCATGTATTGTAACCAAGATGATCAAAGTCGCCACCTTTCGTTAATACACACTGGGCTGTCAACCTGCAAAGAAACAGCCTAATATTTTGTCCTGTCTTTCTGCATTTGAAAGAGATGGTTACTGTAGCTGTAATGCAGTCATTGCATTGTTTGAATAGTGCTATTCAGGTTGATAACCAGTTAAAAAACAGAATGCATAAATATGGAATCAAGAATCTCGGAGGAATATCTCATCATATTCACTTGTGCTATGTGCCATAGAATAATAAAATTATTTGTTCTTTTTGGGGGTTTTTTCTTTTCATCCAACATGGCAATAATAGTATAGATCTGTCAAATGCAAATTGTAGGGCTTTACGTATCGTAACAACCCACACCCCCACCCCTTTGGGTTTTTTTGGTTTTATTTTACCTTTTTCCAAATATGACTAGTACAGATATCGAAGAGAAATATTTCAACCAATGGAAAGGTGAAGTTTGTCCTGCAAAGACAAGTCTCGTTGACAGTAAAAAAGTTTACGACTGAAATCTTTACGAATCTTCACAAAGTTGATTGCTCTGCAAGTGGCAATTAATGTAAGGCTATGCACTGAAGTATCACAAGAGTTCAGATTTTTATTTTTGCAACTGCAGTAAAACTTGGGTCTTTTGGTTCCTTAGATTGCTTGCAACATTAAGATAGTATTATTTACAATTTACATGAGAGAAAAGAAGCTAATGTATTTAGTTTAAATAAATGACCTCATATCATGATGCAAAACCCATTTTGTGTGGCAGGGGCCTGTATTGCGAGTGTATTGTTCTATATATGTAATGCGAAGTGCTGAAATCAGGCGCTCGTCTATTTTTGGGCATGTGGGGTTATTGGTAGATCTAACATCTTAAGGCTTGTTCATTTGTCTTGCATTAAGTGAAAATAACACCCGTCTAACTTGAATAGAAGTTGAGATATTTGCACTGGAAGGAGGTGGGGTTACCTGGTTTCAGGGGTAAAATTAGCGAGAATATGGCCGCCAAGGATCGGTCACTTCCAAATCTTGAGAGTTCTTGGAAACTGAAAATTTACATTTTTTGTTCCTTTAATCGATGTTTTCAGTGATTTCCACACAGAAATGTCTTTTTAAATTGACATAAAAGGTGTTAGCCAAAAAACAAAAATTTGATAAAAAATAGCCAGCTTGGAGGAAATGTGACAGTTTCTTCTTTTTCCTTATTTTGACGAGCGCCTGATTTCACCACGATGCCTCACATATTATTCCTACTGTGCATAGATATCAGTAGTCTTACTGAACACTTAATTTTTGACAGAACGTTAGTCCATTTGTATATAGTCACAAATAAATTATTTTCATGTGCATTTACAGTTACAGACTTCTTGCAATACTGTATAGGGGGACCTCATAGTTTGGTTTCACAATGTAACTAGTATTTATTTTTTTTCTATATCATCAGCTTATGTCTAATGAAACATTACAGTTGTATTTATTCGTTCAGTATAAGGAATAGGTGAGGTGTTGCTTAACACTTTCACTTTCACTGCCTGGACCAAGACTTTCTTAACTTTTTGGTAAGATAATTATTAAATTATTAGCAGGTCTAGCAGTGCCATTGTTAATGAGTCAAGGGTTTAATAGGATGGATGTTTCTGAGCAACTAAAGGAAAAAATGAAATGAAAAATACTTTAATCCCCGAAGTTCAGTGGGGAATAGCCCTGCAACCCCAAATTTTGCAAAGCCCAACAGAGAATTGTTGAGAAGACTGGACAGTTTGACTCAGTGCGACTTGATCATCCCACTGTGAATGTGAATGTTCGTTTGACTGCCACTCTGAGAGAAGTCAATTTCAAATGACAAAATAGCTGACTGGATTATTTTGATCAATGGATAATCATAATACAATGATGGAATTTTTTTTAGCTTTGAAACTTTTTTTCTTTCACCAAAGAAGTGTGGAGCATACATTCAGTTTTGCTCTTTCCACGTGCCAATGACTGCTGGTACAATGACTAGAGGGACCAAAATTATTGTGCATCTTTTAAAGTCATTTTGTATTTGGTTTCTGGATGTGGACACTGACCTACCTAACTTCCTTACAAGATTTGATTAATGGAAAAAGCATATCTCTCATAATTTAGTATAAAGCGCATAGAGCTTGCTTTCAAGTGGGGATATGCGCTATACAAATATTATTATTATTATCATCACAAAAGCTCGTAAGGTAATTATTCTATGAGCCACTCTGTTTCTAGTTTCTGATCCGTGGCAGGTGTTGTGAGTTGTGTGCCTGTCTGTTATGACACTTGCTGAATCTGAAGCTACTGTTTTTCCTGTGTCTTGCAACATTTTGTTTTATACTAGTCCTAAATGGTGTTACTTTACTCGGCCTTGTGGGTGGTTGGCAGGTGCGCTCTGGTGTGGTTTGCTTCTTCTTTCCTGTCAAACATCTATTGTCTTTATGTACTCTCCTTCTTTTTTTGTGTTTGTTGCTCTCTTGTAACACCTCAAATCTTCAGCACTTATTGACCTTATTGACTTGCAAGTGCCGTTAAACACTTACTAAAACTAAACCTACTCTGCCTTGTGTTGTATTCACAACCCATCCTCGGTAAAGTAGTCCACTATTGTATACATGCTGTGCATTTACTTAAATTGCAGATGTACTTGATTGTGCTTTGACTTTTTATTTGCTTTACATATTGTTTGATGTCCTTTTGTATTGAGGAAGATGGGAAAAATCTTTACTACCACATTTACAATATAGGCACAAGCTAACAGTATTTATGCCATGCAGTGGATTTATTTTCCAGAGTCAATTACACATATATCCCGTATTATATGAATTTTATTGAAACATCAGTATATCTGGGAAAGGATAATTATGTGTTGTATCTTTCACAGTGCTGCTATTTGTCTGGTTGTATTTGTCCTGTTCAGAAGCTGTCACTGACTGATTGTTAAGAATAGCTTTAATGTTTAAAAAATGCAAATGTAATGGGTCTGTATGAAATGCTCTTTACTTTGCTCTGTAATTTATTTGAACTTTAAACCGTTCTGTCTGATCCAGAATATTCATCATTATTCAAAACCATGGTGGGTTTTCACCCTCACTCAGCCAGGATGGTAAAACTTACAAACTGACTCTGTCATTTTTACAGGGGAATTTCTTATCCACCAAACACTGAAGCCTACCCTTTTTTTGTCCTGCTACTGAGTATGATCACCCTAGGTGGGCAGTTCAATAAATTATACATACCAGAGGTCTCATCATCTTCTCCTCCAACGTCATGCACACACACGCCACTCAGATTTAATCTTATTTTGCCATCAGGATCCGATGAGCCCTAAATGCTGATTCGTGTCATTATAACAAACCCCCGCACGCTAAACGATATTTTCTCAAAATTACATGAAATTATCTAAAGCATTTGTATATTTTCAACCAAAACTTGGCATTCCCAGGATTTGTCTTCCTTTATTATTGTGCACCATGGAGAGGTTAACAGATCTCCTCTTCCAACTACACTGCAAATGCACCGCAGCAGTTTTATGCCCACGGACAGTGCAGACCTATTACTCCGTTTCTAAAAGGTGAAGACACCCCTTATAGGCAGATTCTCGATTGTCCCTTTGAAAAATTGTAGGTTGAAAAAGAAAAAGTTTTTAAAAATATATTATCATGTACTAGTCATCAGCCCAGTAGCTGGAGGCTCATTGTTTCACATAGAAAAGTTATTTGTTTTTGTTTCGTTTGTTAACTCACTGTACAGGGTATTCGGGTAATACTAGTACAGCCAAAACGCACATTCCATTGTGTTGTCTTTACTTACACTTTCAAATGAAGCTGTTGACATGAACTGCTGTATTTTCCCCTCAACTTAACTGCTCAGCTTGTAAAACAACCGATACTGTTTCGACATTTTTATCTGCAACTTTTCTCTTGAGAAATGTACGCCTACCTTCTTTATTTGCTGCTTTCATGTCCAAAGTGCTGTTGTTCTGACATTTGGCCTTTTGCTCTTGTTTATTTTCATCTTTCTTTTTTGTATTTCTACACTCTGTTTTGAGTATTTTGTTTCACCGCTTTCTGTCCGTGATATTTTTTAATCCAAAGTGAATTTGCCTCCAGTGTGCCCTGCTGTCATTGTTGTCATGAACGCAAGACTCCTTTTACATGACTATATTATTGTGCATGCCATTATTACTTATTTATGAACAATATATTTTGAAATTTAAAAAAACATGCACAAAGCAGATACGGAGTTTTGTTGTAATTTCTTAAATTTAAGCATTAGATCTATTTTAAAGTGTTTTTGTACGAGTTTTTGTTGTTTGTTTTGGTATATATCTAAGTTTTACGGCGCTTGCACAAAAAAGGAGGAGAGATCAAGACGATAGATTTTGATTGGAAAGAAGGAGCAAACCACACCAGAGCACCCAGAGAATCTAGATTCTGATGACCGGGGCCCTAAAACTTCAACAATTACATTGCTTTCTTCAAGTGTATTGTATAGCGTCTGGAGAACACAAATCAGTGATTAGTAGAGTAAAAAGAAAAAAAAGGGTTACCCCAAAGTCAACACATGCAATATGTAGCGTGACTTATACATCAGCAGAGTTCTGAGGAGAAACACTTGCATGTATTCCACTTTTTTTCATTCGAGGTGTAAAGTGTTATAACTCCAACTTGAGAACAGGGAATTTGAAATCAGATCAGGAAGTCCCATTGGAGGCCATAATAATAATGTGACATTATGGGTGCGGCTCTGAGAAAACCCATCAGATGGTGTGAAATTTTATTTTAATTTTAAGATATCGCCTAAAATAAGCCATGAACTTCATTTTTATCAAAAATGAGATTGTATGAAATGTAGAAAGATTAACCATTTATACATCATATGTTTCAAGGAGTTTGCTCAAAACTTTAAAACCTGTTTTCTCAAAACTTCACCTTCGGACCCCTGTGCACTTTACAACGCCATGTATCTTTCCACAGAATGCTCCAATTGCACTCAAATAAAGTGAAAGATGCTCTGGAAAGATGTGTCTTTCAAAATCTGCAAAGAGGTCAATTTTGAAAATTTGCACAACGTAAAGGGTTTTCTCAGAGCCACACACATATGAGACCTAGTTCTTATTTTCTTTCAAGGAATAAACACCTTTCTCCTCATTCACAAGCATCTGTTGAAAAGACTTGTAACCTTGTCCATAATTATGTAAATTTGTATCTTCTCAGCACAACTTATATATGTAAACTTTAGACACTGAATTATTTTTTTTTTAACCACTACTGCTCTTCTTAAAAGTTGCATCAGTTAAGGGGTTATCGAAATTATAGGAAACATCAAGAAACAGACAAAAATAATATCTGCTTAAATAAAATATCTTTATTAGTCAACAATAATAATCAGTCATCAGGAGGTCACAGTAATAAAAATGTTCAACAATCCTATAAGGCAGAGATCACCAAACTTTTTTCAAAGTGGGTCAGATAACAGAGAAGACTGAACGCAAGCCTGATATTCACTGATAATGATAACTTTTGTTCTTCTAAGCAATACATTGAATATATAAGAGGTATAAACCAACCTATTGATTTATCAATACTCCAAATACAAAATAAGCAAACAGCACAGTAAATGTAAAGACTACAAACTTAGAGGTTATAAAATAATGATTAATTTGCACTAATTACTAATACAAATTCATTAAAAATGTGATTTACTTGCACTGTAGAGTCCAACGAAATTACAAAAAAATTATCAATCTGGTGACCAAGTCCTTAGCACACTACAAACACATTTTTCGGGTTTTTTTGTTTTTCCCTACATTGTGGCACTAAAGTGGGCCAGACGAATTGACCTCCCTAGACTGGTGACCCCTGCTAGGAGGAAGGAAACCTGTACATCTAACATCTAAATTCAAGAACAAAAACAAACATTAGTTCTATAGCTGTGTCTCTTTAATTTAGCAATAAACCAGGATCCTACTGTATGTCAGTGTCAGCTGTTGAGCCTTTAGGTATCTGAACTGACGACTGGTAGGAAGTAGTATGAGGGGGTTGGGAGCAGATCAGACTGTCCCCCGAGTATCCCAAACCTTTAAAAAAAAATATTTGCAGTTACGTATACAACACATCAAGTTCAGTTCAAAGTCCATAAAGACCACAAGCTGTTGTACTCAGCTTCTACAGTTACATGTGTAATGAAAGTACAATAATTATAAATAGCATCCAAAAAACGGTGGGTCTGCAAGGGCTGCAACCTTCATTCAAGCAGTTGCATGATATCATATCTTCACTTCAAATGGGCTCTTACTCATCAATTACCCTTGCTCTTCTCTACTGAAAAGCAAAAAATGTGTAATTTGTTGGTCCAGAATTGAAAATGAAAGAAGTGTGTCAGTGGAGCCCTGAATGTGGAGACCAGTCAAAATATTTCAACATAGTAAAGTGTATCCCCCTCTTTTCAGTTTCACAGCCAGAGACTCGCTCGCCTATTTGTTTGACAAACTCTTGGAATAACAAAACAACTGAAAAACCCTGCTCAATGTAAGAAGCCTGATTTGAATTTAACTGTTTCATAGTGGTATCCACTAGGCTGAGTGTCATACCTTTTTTCCTATTTTTATCCTCCGAGAAGAAAAGAAAAAAACAATATTGTTAAAAACATCTTGACACTCAAAACTCACAACAATCTACTTATACAAAAAGAACAGAATACTGTAGAACTGTAAAGAGGCACCATTGGTGGTTCTAGCAAAGTGGAAAAAGATAAATGAGATCAAAACATGGCGTGCTAATACAGAGCAAAGCTTAAGTCAATCTTTTTTTTTCTTGGCATATATGTGAAATATTAAAGTTAAAGTTTTTTATCATTATATGCAACCGTCAACAGATTTATTATAAGGCACTTTGGATAAAAAGACAATAGCTTTTTTAAAAAAGGGACAGTTCATGTCATATCTTGGAGAATTGAGCACAGACTATCTACGAAAGCACTATAAAAAAGAATATATTTATTATATATGCAACACCTCCTAAGATACAAGATGCCTCAACACTTGTCCTGAGCACAGTACATCAACTATTTCCCTGTGCTAAATGTAACCTGCATTTTTTTGGCAAACATAAGCCTAATTGGCACATGTGTTAACAGCAAACGATATAAAAATGTAAACTAATACAGAAAAAACACTTGTTGTTTCAGTGAGGGAATAGCACCTACTTCAACTTACTACTACGAAGAAATAATTTCATTCAGACAGAAGACAGTGACCGGATACTAATACTAGCAACATCTTTTTGATTATGAGCAATAGCACCTTGTGGGTAAGAAACCACATGAAGAGTCAGGAAAAGCACAAGAAATCACTTACACAGGGTGGAAACAAAATTTTTGGAGTTGCTAATTTTTCTGCAACAACGACATAACGTGAAGAAACCACGTATCTCGGTGAAGAGTGACTACACTACAGAAATAAAAAAATATGATTACGCCCTGCGTGAGACGTACAAGTATTCTAGTGACAAGTAGCAGCTTTTCTTTTTGGAAATAGCAATAAGCCTACAGTAACAATATGGGAATGCATACAGTAACGATATCACCGGAAAACCTTTAAAGTCTTCAAAACTAGAAGAAAAAAAAAGATGCAAAAGTTGTTACTCGTTTAATTGTACAAGTACTTGTAATAATGCGTAGAAAGCTTAACCAAATGGAGACTCCTGTATCATGTTTGGTAAATAGAAGTGTGTAATAAAGTGCTCCTATTTCCAAGTTGCTTTACGTGGTCGTATAAAAAGTATCTGACGACAGGATTTACTGCAACACATGTTGCAACTGGAATATTAAATATTTTTTATTGCCTTTGATTAATGATTGGACCAGCTGTGATTGTGAAACAACTACAACACTCAACAATATCACACGCAGCTATTCATGGCACAGTGCAATTAACTCCTCTTCTCACTGACATTTTCAAAATTATCACAATTCACAACCCAATGCCTATTTTACTACAATCGTGTCCAAACACATATCTTTCAATGAATAATAAGCCAACATTCTTTCCTTCTAGTCTATTATGTCTACCCATATTAATAAATTCCCTGTATCTTCTGTTAACAGACTTTTCAGACATAGAGAAAAAAATCAGGTTCTTAAGTGGTAACCTACAAATTGTATTCAAACAGGCACAAGAGAAACCAGCAAGTTTATCTGTATACACACTGCAACCACATCATGCATCATGTAACATTTTATCTCTGATTTGATTGAATAAACTGAATGTCAGTCACTAAAAAAAGAAGCCAAAGGGCAATCAAATATAAAACCTATATAAAATTCACAGACATCAATTGAGCGTACAGTAACTTCAGCTTGTGCCCATCACCACATGCAGATATGTCCAAATCCGTGACACAAACTGTCACATCACATCAACACAAAAACCCATCACACAAGAATTGAGTAAAGTAGAACACCTTGAAAATGAACACATGAAATAAAAACTTCTTTACCACAAACACAGAAAATTATCTTTCTTTATCCTCTTTTCTCTTTTACATGAAGTAAAAATAAATCTGCAAAATATTATATTAATGTCTTGGAATTTGGACATTGATTTCAATTTGTATAATGTGCCTTTTCTTATTTCCTCAAAAGCACGCTACTTAATTCCTTCATCATAATCTCAATTTTTCAAACTTACCTGCTTCACTCAAATATCTTTCGGTATTTTGAACAATTATAAAAATGTAATTTAATGCTCCACTTTAACATTAGATTACAGCTCCGATTTTTGGACCTTTAATTTCTCAAATTTTTCTGGAGACTGTTCAAGGAGGTAGTCCATATAACCTGCGATTGGATACTTGGCGACGTAGGTGCCCTCAAATACATCATCAAGAGACTTCAAAGTGCTTTCAGAAAGACCAGACTGAAAATAGAGGGGGACATAGAGTTTTAGTTCAAACTTAATGCAGACACTTTAATAACACAATGCCTACACATTCTTTAGTCAAGAAAAAAAAAGCAGTAAGAACTCCAAATTGATATAATTAATTAGGAAGATGTTGGCCAAGTCACAAAAAGTACTCTTCTGTTTGTATACGGATAAAAAAAGACCTTGAATGACAGCCAGTAACTGTCCGAAATCTCATATTGTTATATTATGAGCATTCTGTTCGTAGAAACATGAATGAGTAATCTGTCAGAAATACCATGCATATTCATGAGCACTCTCAAAAAGGGAGCACTACAGAAATGCCTCTTTTCCTCCATCCTTGAAATACAACACAAACAGAAGAATTTCTAACAATAAGATTAAGTTGGTTTTTTTCCAATAGAAATAACAATAAAAAGATATAAATATCATTAACTATTTGATAGAAAATCTATTTAGACAGGTCCAAATTTGAACAAAACAGAAATCTATGATTTTGAAGAGTGTTTTTATAAAGGGGGGGATTTTTTATCACTATACTTTAATGACTATCAAAGAAGACAATATCTCTCTTTCCTGAAATTAGCAAAGCCAGATGATTTTTTTTTTAGAATCATTATTCTTTTCTGTGCTGATTGGTTTATGTGATAGACACAGATGTGCAGATTACAATACTTTTTGAATTTTTAAAATCAGTTAATAAATAGCTTTTTAATTAACTTTTTCTGTCTTAAAAAGTAGTCATTTTTTAAAGAAATATTTTTGTACACACAGAATATAAGAAATAGGCTTATAGGCAGTGACAGCATAGCACACAAGGTCCCATTCATAATAACAAGAGGTAGCGATCAAGATCAGCTTATCTACAGAAATACTCACAATATCATGATTCAGATCTTCCTTTTCAAGAGACATTTTGGCCACAGCTCGAGTCGAGTCTATCCCAACAAGAACATTGTACGGAGCATCTTTGCCATAGAACCCTAAAAAAATAAAAACATTTCAAATCAGTTAAACCAGGAGGGTGATGACTGTAATCTAAATAATGCCACATTGCAGAACAAATTATTTCAATCATGATTGTCTGTCATAAAATTTTAATGAATTGCTTTTTTAAAAAGTTTCCTTTAACAAGGAATATTATTATTATTATACGAATTAAAGAAAATAATGAGTATTATACAAAAATGTTACTTTATGTGCCATTCCCGTTCTTGTCTGATCTCCCTCAGTATGTTTAAGTTTTTACAGCCAGTGTACACTAATAATGTGATTCTTGCCCACTTCTGTCTGATTTGTAAAATGGCAGCAACTGGTCTGGCTACTTACAGCTGGATTGAACTAATAACAATAGCCAACCAGAAGTCGCCCACACAATACGTCAGGGTTAGATTTTTTTTGCATTATATATAGTGTGATGACTGAAGCAGAACCACTGATGTACCGTCTTCCTTCTTCCTTTTCGCTTAGCTCGCACAACAGCCAGTCTGACAGACAAGCATCATGTATCCAAACTTCAAACTAGGCTAGGGCCCTCTTTCAGTACAAAAAAACAGAAAGTGATATACACATCACTAAACTGATTATAATGAAATCAAAAGTATTTAATTTTTTAAATTCTGATCATTCTTTTTGCATAATGCAGAGAAATGAATCCACAATATATATATATCACGAACTGTTTATAAAACTGTTTTACATGTGTAGCGGAATGCAAAAAACTTCACCAAGCTTCTGACCACAGCTGACCGGCAGCTCAGCAGGTCAGACCGCAGGCAACTGAGTGGCTTGCCAGGGATACAGAAAAAAAGAAGTTTCTCTACAAAACCAACTCAATTTTCATACAACTGTGTGGTTGGATTTCAGAATTTCTTTTTTTAATAGATTATTATTTTCCTTTAAACTTATAGGGGGAGAAAACATCCAAGACTGGTTGCACAAAAAAGGATGTATATATATGGGGGAAAAAAAGAAAACTACTTACTTTCTCCTTTTGACACATCAAATACGACTCCTTTTATACCCATATAGAGTGGCTTGTCACTGTTCTGTGGGGGGAAAAATAGATTCAGATCTATAAAACAAAAATCACAAAAACTTCTTTTGTTAAAATTTGAAAAAAAGTAAAAAAACGAGGTGAAAACTTACATTCTCAGATCAATCAATCAACATACAAAATCTGATGTAAAGCAAACTGAACCAAGAAGAAAATCATAGTTTCATTAGAATGTTTGACACATTTTATTTCATTCAGGGTCGGATTAAAAAAAGCTTACAAAAGAGGTTTTTTGTGCAAGTTAGAAAATCTCTTTTTCGCTTTGTTTTCTGAGATCATGCCATTATTATGATCATTATATAAAAAAACTATAATACACACATGAAAAGTGGGTGAGAGGACAAATAAAAAGGGGTTGGCCATTGGGAAAAGTACAAGATGACAACACAATTTTTAATTTCAATCAATAATGCTCCAAAGAAACAAATGTTGGTGTGTGAAGAATCCTTTCATTAATTATCATTTTGGGGAAATACAGTCGACTAAGGATGAGTTCATGTGGTTGGGGAGGGGGGGGGGGAGGGAAATAGATCAACTCACTCATTCAACGTTGGGAATTTTTTTTTTTTAAAGAGGGGTTTAGACCTGAGAAAAAGATCAATTTCTAACTGAAGATCAACTTACCCTAAATGCGAGTTCAACACTTGACGCAGAGTCTACAGTCAGTCAACTGCACTACACTTTTAACATGATAAAACTAATACAGTCGAACCTGCCATGACGGCCACCTAATACAGCCACCTGTACAAACAGCTACTTTTCATCCCCCCCCCCTCTTGTATTATAATTTAACTGCGTAAAACAGTCACCTGTCCAACGCGGCCGTGGCCACCTTGTTTTATAACCTACAGCCAACCTGCCTAAGACGGCCAGGTGTGGTCTCCACCTGCCGGAGGCTTTGTTATAAATCGTCCCCTGATGCTGAATGTTTTAAGTTTACCCAAGTTGACCAACAACCAGGTTTGACGGACAACAATAAATTTCCAACTGCCAGTGAAGGAAGTGTGTGATCCATCATAAAACCTACAATAACCCCCGCCTAAAATTCATACATAAATCGTTATGTGAGGTGACTGGTCACTGCTTTGTTTAGATATCTACCTTATCTGTAACAAAGTAACAATGGGTGTTGAAGTAAACTTGCTACAATTTAAGTGTCCCGCGTTCTCCGAGTGGTGACGACCTGTGTGTTTGTTAAATTGCCATTACCATGGCACTCTGTCTCCATTGTTTTACATTATAATGCAGTAGTCTCCGCCTAAGATCTTGGTGCTCGGGAGCAAGGAAATGCGGGATCTTAGGGGAACCGGGATCTTAACCGACGAACCCAGGGAAGAATCTAGGGTGACCCATGCCAAGGCTCACAATCGGTAAAATGGTCTCCCTCCACTTTAAAATGAACTGACATGACCGCTTGGTGGGTTTATAAATGACGTAAGGCGAGCAAAGAGTGGTTAACCTTGGTGAACTATCACAGTGCATAGTGGGATGAGGCGTGCCATTTTCACTTTTTATCTTGTCATGAGTCTCAAGATCTACGCGAATCCAGTTGCCCCTCCCCCTTGCCTGTCGAAAATTTATAGCTTTCCATCTCTGATCTAGTTTCCCCCCCCCCAAACCGCCTTTGTCATTACGCACCATTACGTTGTGAACACACCAATTAAAATTCAGTCTGTCTCGCAAATTCGGGAGAAGAGACAACTACAATGGTCAGGGAAGAGTTCACAGTTCAACCTGATCCCGCCTGGAGCGAACGTGTAAGCCCTGCCTATCCAGCGAGTGATGTAAGTTTAGGGGGAGAGCTCCTGTGTGAGTGCGATGGGTGGGGAAAACAAACGTGTAGGTCAGTTCACACCCTGGTGTGATCTGGTCTGGGGCAAACATTGTATCGCTTCATCGAGTTTTACAGCGTGTGTATGTGATCACATTCACGATAGTGGCTGATCTTTGACGCGACGGACAGTTTATTGATCTCACCTTTTCACTCTTGATTGATCGGCTGTCCCGTCCGGGTTTTTGTTCCGGAAATTATGATCTGAAATGCGGGATCTTAGCCGAATGTAGACCTTCAGAGTGAGTCAAAGTAGGATCTTAGGGGTGACTTTTGAGAATAGTAAAAATTTGTTTTCTTAAAACAGCGGGATCTTAAGCGAACCAGGATCGTAAGCCGTGGGATCTTAGGCGGAGACTTCTGTATTTTCATTTATTTTACCTTTGCACAAAATCAGCAACAAAAGAGTTTTTAACCCCCCCCCCTTTCCCTTATTGTTCAAAAGAAAACAAAAACGCTTAAAATGAATTGCAGACCAAAGCTTGAGCTCAGCCCCGGTTTGGACCTGCGAGGAGAATGGTTTGCTTTGTTCATTTTGATCAGTCCTGCTTAAGACGGCCACCTGTGTTAAAAGGCCACTTTCTCCTTGACAATGCAGTGGCCGTTTTACGACACAGGTTCAACTGTACACTTGGAAGAAACAGATTTCTGGCTGGGGAGAATTGAGTGTCAGCTCTTGTGGCTCATTAATGTTCCAAATAGATAATAAAAGTAGGTTCAATTCATTACATAATATCCAACTTGTAGATAGATCTAGATCTAGATCTAATCTAGTTTACAGTTCAAGAACCGCTAATAAAGTTCAGAATGTAGGCCTATCCTAGACAACTAAAAAAATCAGGTTCTCAGGCCTATAAAAAAAACAATATCAAAATGCAGAAGGCCATCATCTAAAAAAATCTAGATCTACACCGAGAAACTTACTGAGCCGTCATATTCTTTCAATTCCTCAGCAGTAAAAACCCTCACAGGTTCTCCATTGTTCGAAACCACTTCAACTTCCTTCAAAGTATAACCAGCGTCAGCATGATGAACAAACTGACTGAAACTCATCAGTATGCACACTACAAAAAGACTGAAGAAATGTTGAGCACTCATAGCTAAAAAGGTATGAAATCAGAGAAACAAAAGAAGACTGCTGATTATTTCTACGTCAAAGCTTAAATTTTGAGAAAACCGTTTGACTGTATCATCCGTAGAGTTGCAAGAGTCTAAGATGATTGATGATCCTGTCAACTTCAGCTTCAGCTGCTGTAATTTTTTTGGTCCCCGTTGTCAATGGGAGTAGTTTCCCTTGCACAAATGAATAGAGCAAGGAGGAAGTAAAAGCACGGTCTTTGGTAAAAGCACAGAATTAGGGTAAAAGACAAAGTTATACGTCTTGGGTTATACAAAGGTCCTTGGAATAGAGCAAGAAAACGACCTCGTCATCATAACCTACCTACATTAAATTTGTTTCTTGGGTGTATAGCCTAGATTTACACAACTAAGTTTAAAAAGGAGATAACTCATATGCTTGGTGGGGTATGCGTGTCACTTGTATCGCATTTTTTTTTAGCGCTCTACCTTTTATGTCAGTTCTAAAATATTAAATATCTATCTGTAGATTATTATATTACACTGAAAAACGTTAATTGTGTTTCCTAGGACACGGGCTCTTTGGAAGTCGCCAAACTTTGGCGGCTGCATTATTTTCTAGCTAATTTATCTCTGACACCAAAGCGACCCGCCTACCTCCTTCAATTGCAAAATACAATATGTACATGTATCTCAATTTCTATTGAAAATAAATGGGTATACGACGTTTTCATCAAAAGCAAAACAAATGTACACGTAGGCCTACATATGAGGCTTTATAACAGGACGATACCTATAACTGCCCAAAAATTTACAGCACCTGTGATTCCACCTTCGTGGCACCTTGAAATAATATATGTAATTATCGTTTCTTTTTTGCCTGTATCTTTGTCGAGATAACAATAACAACAAACTGATAACAACTGATAAAAACAAACAACAACTGATATATAAACAGCAAATGACGACAAACAACAACAAAATAACAACGAATATCAACACAATGACGTCCTATATAATTTAGTTTTTTTTTCAATAAATTGTTACTTTCGATTTCGGTGTTTATTTTGGTCGAGATAACAACAAATAACATAATTCACGAGAGCAACAAATAACAACTAATAGCAACTGA